CACACACACACACAAGTGAGTGGGCGGCAAGGGAAACACACCGAAGGGAATTAAAGAGCCGCAGCACACATGCGCTCAACACAAATCTTCTGCACAAAGCAAGTCTCTTAATAAAGAATCGACACCCAATCAAATTGCATGCAGACATCCTGCTACTGCAGTGTGGATATACTCGCACACACACACACACAGAATAAAAGGGTTATCGTACTCCTCGAGCACATGCAGGCAGAAATGCAAAGCAATTAGGATTAACGCACCCTCCACACCACACACACACAGAGAGAAACAAAAGAAACGACCACACAAAGGGGCAGCAGTTGAGCCCCAAGCAATCATTACGAAGAAAAGGGGGATAAATACACCCGCCATGAGCTCGCAGTACAGACAGAGAAAGAGAGCGAGGAGGCATTTTGCTTGTCCACGATGCTCATCACGCAGCCGCCACTCCAAACAACGCCAGCAGAAGCAGCGGTGCATGCAACCACACAGGACTGAAGCTGTTGTCCGCATTCTGCGTATCTTTGGCCGTTTCAGTCAGTGAAGTGTCACTGGGTTTCAGTATTGTCTCTCCTGGGGTATTGGGAGAATGAGGTGCGGAAGATGGCTGCGCTTGCACAGCATCATTTTGTTTACTTGCACCTTGAAGAGCAGAAGCCGAAGTAGGATCCGTATTGGCGCGATCCTCAACCGAGGTGCCAGTTTCGGGAGTCTGCGCTGTTGAAGGCGAACCACCAGAATTGGTTGTGTCACTGTTTGCGGTGGGGTTGACAATAGTGTCATTCCCCACTGTGTCGGACCGTTCCTCTTCCCTGGGCTTGGCGTCGGGTGAAAAATTATCGGTGTCAGCGGTGGGCGAAAGATTGTTGTCACTCAGAGTTGATTGGGAGGTGGATGTGTGCTGTTCAGTTCCCACTTGTTGTCCGTTCAGGGGTTCAATTACTTTTGGAGCACTGACGTCGACTTCGCCATTTTCGTTACGAGACTGCTCCCCCTGCAGACGTTCAGTTTGAGCTTGGGTCTGTTGCTGCATAGACTTCACAGGAGTGGAGCAAGCCCTTCCATCGGTCGTGGTTTCAGTGCAAGTCGTCGTCACCTCATGAACTTGTCCACTGCCCACACCAACAGCCCCAGCACCTGGATGATTGAGCTGTTCACGTTTCAGCTCGTTCTCGAGAGGTACACACTCTGGTAACCCTACTTCTGCAGGATTTTTGCAAGTCACTGGGTTTTTAGCTCCTGCTCCAACATACTCAGTGCCATGCAGGCAGCTCTTTCCATCAGGTGTTTTAGCAGCGCTGGAAGACTTGCACTCTCCAGCCACGGGAGTAAGAGTGATAGGAACAACACCACGACCCGGTTGAGGTTGTGACGGACAACGAATCATCCCGCCCTCAAGCGAGCAAGTAGCAGGATCATCCCAGCCCCCATCACCCAAAATACTTGCAGGGGGAGAGACCAACGCTCCCTTTCCGGTAGTCGAGCACTGTATGCCCGAAGAGCCACCGCAAGACGAAGAAGTCTCCTGACCAGTTGCCGCAGAAACACCAGCACACCACACGCAGAGCAAACACACAAAGAGGATACCGCGCATCATCGCCACTGTCAAAATGCCACTCCGCAGAACACAAAAAAAGAAAAAGTAGCAGGAAGTGCACAACACCAAGAACGGAACACAATAACTAAAAATTCAGTTCAACACCTTCATTTACAAGCAAGCCTTCACCAACACGAAAAAAATTTAATTAGCATTAAGCCGAAGAGCAAAACAGACAAAGTGTGTTGTGCCCACAGGAGCACTCCCCAACAGCAAAGCA